AAATGTCACCTCCTTAAAGAAGCATTTCCTGACCACTGGATAGGTAATACCCACCCCTTATTAATTTCTATGTAGCAGTTATTAGCTCAACTACATTATTTGTTTGCTTACAGATTATCCGACACCTTCACTCCCAACCCAGGTCCTACTTTCCCCTGAAGGGAAGAAGCTCCCTCGGGACAGGAACCTTGTCTATCTTGCTCCACACTGTATCTTCGGCCCCTAGAACACTGCCTGGCACTCAATACCATTTACCGGATGAATAAATGAGGATTGGGGAGCAGACTACAGTCATTTTCAGTTTTTATTTTTATATTTCAGATGAATGTGAATTTTTCCATAAAAAGGCATGTACTACTTGGATAATAAGGAAAAAGAAAATAATGCCAAAATGAAATAAAATTGAAATAATAAAATTAGCATATTTAACAAAACAGATGAAAGCAACATAAAACCTTTCCCCAAAATCTATTATATAGATTGCCAGTAATTCATATCCACTCTGTTTATTAAACCTGAAGCATTGGCCAATTTAATGATCTGCTTGCAAATCAGGACACAACCATGGACTTTTAAATAATAGTTCTCTCCTGGGCTCATAGTAAGATTGCTGTTTGAGCTTTCCACTTTATTCCAATCTCCTACACCCAGTGCATTTTTTTTTTTTTTTTACCTTTCTGCTTTTGCCAATGCTGTGACCTCTCATGCAATGTCCTCCCCCAACTTCTCCTGTCCGAAATCATCCTTTAAGGCACATTTAAATCTATCAAGAAATGGCCACCACCAACCAACTGTGCTTCTAAAAAGCTCTGTGCTTTGTCAAAAGGCATCCTGTCTTTGTGTCTCCCTCAATCAATTACAGTTGGTTGAAAGCAATATTTTTATATATATAACTACACTGAAATGTCACTACACATTTTCCAACTGAATAAAAAAAAATCACTGCTAGTGGGAAAATTCGGTCAAAGGCAGATGGGAGAAATTGCTTAGATATCTTTCTCAAATGAGAAAATACCAGGTGGTTTTCAAGGGTTCAAAAGCCATTTCCCACACATTCCCATGAGGAGGAAGATGGTATATACACAATCATTACCTGGATTTTACAAAAAAAAAAAAAAAAAAAAAATGAATGCAAGAAAAACTGACTAGGAAGCTTGGAATAATCTCTTCCAATGTTATTGGGCACCATCCACTTATGTCCTGTTATAACAACCAGTCAGCATTGATTGAGTGCTTACAGTGTGCGAGGCACGGTGCTAAATGCATTATATACATTACTAGAGGCCCGATGCACAAAATTCATGCAAGAGTAGGCCTTCCTTCCCCCGGCTGCCGGCACCGGCTTTTCTCTGGCATCCAGGACCCGGGCTTCCCTTGCAGTCCCGGTTTCGTCTGGAAGGACGTCTGGAAGGATGTTCGGTCGAATTAGCATATTATGCTTTTATTATTATAGATTATTATAGATCTTATTTACTCCTCCCAATAGCCCAAAGTGATCATTATTAGTAGTATCCTATTGGAAAGGATCATTGAGAGGTCACTGCCTATAGACCCTTGAGCTGGATAGGGGCATTTGGAGGCTCCTCATGCCCTCCCCTGTCCTTGGAATGTGTACTCTGCTCATTATTCCCATAGTGAAAGCTATTCCAAGGATGTAGCCTTGAAAGAATAAGATGTTGTTGGGACCATTTGGACAGCATATGTGACTGAACCCCATTAAGGCTGCTATATAAACTTTAAGATTCTGGTTTGGGGTGCAAAGATCTACTAGTCTTGTGGCAACCAAGACTTGTAGGTAATTTGTCTGGCTTACTATCCCTGGCTCCTACCAATCTGGAGTGGTCTGCTTTTGTGTTCAGCCTCTCCTTGCCCTCATATGCTGGGGCCAGTTTCAGATTTCACCCAAAAAGCTCCCAAGGTTTCGAACCAACATATTTCCATTTGACAGAGGAGGTAACTGATGCACAGAGAGGCTCAGCAATTTTCCCAGGATGACAAGGCAGCAAAGTGTTAGAGCTGATTTGAAGCCATTTTGCCTGATTTCAAAACACCCATTTTTTGCCACTCTAACATACCTTTTTTCTATTCTAAAAACTATAGTTAACATTAAACATAGCAGTTAATACAACCTTAATTAAAAATTACCAGTTCTAGACTATTTTCACCCTTTTCAATTATTTTTAAGTAACACAAACTCAGTGTTCAACATAAGATAATTAAATATGGGTAGAAGTTAAATTGAGCCTGTCTTCTTTTTAATGGGCCTCTCTTTTTCACCAGCATTTCATGCATTGCAACATTGGTTTGACAATTGTATGCCAGAAAGTCAATAGTACTAATTTTCACACCTCATTAATAAATAAATGGAGGCCTCAGAAGTTATGGGATGGATCCATAGATCCCTTGGGAATGGAGAGGGAGTTCTAAAGCCACTTTAATCAAACAATGCCAAGCTGTAGACAAGACTTTAGAGATCAAAACATGCTCAAGGTAATCCCAGACTTAGAATTTAAAAGCGGGACTCTAGGTCAGAGCTTTAAGAAGATTTCAAGTCTGAATAAACAACAAGAAAAAAAGCAGATTTGGGGGTCCACACAAAAGTGGATCAGACACTGTGGTCTTGCATCTGAATGGAAAACAAGAGTCAGAGTCTTCCATGGTTTGGAACTGAGAAGATAAAAGCCTTTCTGCCAGGCTTTTTAATAACTGGCAGCCTAAGACATGGAAGTACAAAAATGCCAGGAGCTCAAATGCTATACATTGGATATGCACAGCAATTTTTCTATATGCTTGAAAATTTTCCTAATATAATGGTGAGAATATTAAGGAGGGATTTATTAGGGAACATTAGGAAACTGACCAGCATTGGAGTTTTGGTCCAGGGTGTTGTTGCTTTATGTAATTCCTCGCAAAAGGATAAAAGCAGGTTCCTTCTACAGATGAAGTAATGAAATAATCAAAGCAGCAAATATGTATTGAGCACTTAGCTTGAGCTCTGCATACCTTATCTTATTGAATATTCACAATTAAGCTATAAGGTAGGTAACTTATTATCTCCATTTCAGAGAATGGAGGCAGAGTGAGGCTTAGGAACATGCCAAAGTCATCACATAGCCAGCAAGGGACAGAGCCAGCATTCAAACCCAGGGCTTATTTGAATATAGCTCCTATTCTGCACATTCATTTTTATTACTATTGTTGATTTCAGAGAGGAGGGAGAGAGAGAGAGGCCAGTGATGAGAATCATTGATTAGCTGCCTCCTGCATGCCCCCTATTGGGGATTGAGCCCACAACTCTGGCATGCGCCTTGACTGGGAATCTAACCAGTTCAGAGGTCGACACTCAACCACTGAGCCACACCAGCCAGGCTGCAGATTCTTTCAAGGCCACTGTGAACTCCAGAGACCAACAGGACTGCCATACACTTATAACATGACTGAATGTATTCTGGGACTCTCAGTAGATTTAGAAAGCTTCCCGAAAACATGCAAGTACTAAACCTTCATGTTGAAAGCAGAAGGGGGTCACGGGGTCCAAACTGGGGTTCAAACCCTGGCTCTGCCACTTCAGTCACATCACCTAGCAAGCTCTAGTTTTCCCATCTAAAGAAGGGAGCCACCTCGGGAGGTTGTGGTGGAGATAGAAGGAGATGGTGCATTTAAAGTTATTCCACAGGAGCATGACAATCCACCACTAAAAGACACCATTATGGGTATTATTTTTGAACTTGCAGGAAGCAGAGACCCTCAGCCCTACTGTTATGCCAAAGTACCAAAGCCAAAGGCATTTGAAAGAATGAAACAGGAGGAAAGACCAATATTTTAAAAGGAGGTTGGGAGCACTATGTATTCCAGATGCAAAACTAAGACAATTGATTGTTATTTCAACTTGAACCCGCGAGAACCAGAATACAACTGAGCCATTCCAGGAAGATTTTCTGAATTTGTCATTACAGGCATGAAGAAAGCACACACACACACACACACACACACACACACACACACACACGCTTCTACCGGGTGAAGGCAGGAAAAGAGCACACTCACAATAGTTGGGTCCAACATAGCTCTGAGATTGGTGCTGAGCAGGGTCACTCACTGTGAAGGCAGGAAGCTGAGGGTCCTTGAGGAGGAGGAGAGGGCCTTTCCCCGCCCAGCAGGAGGCACGGTCTAGAGCAGGCAGGGCAAGGGCAGGGGCACTAGAAAGCGCCCTGGGTTTGCAGGGAGGGCTGGTGACCCCGGGGTCCCTGCGGCTGCCTCTATACTTTGAGGGCAGGAGTTTCATTCAACTATTGCATCCTATTAATTAAAAGCAAAAATTCCTTGTTTTATTTGGAAATGTTGTTGACCCCTAAATACCATGGAGAGAACGAGCAAACACAGTAAGTCGGTTTCTGAGCTACCTTCTAGGATTGTGCCCAAAGCGAAGACTTTGAGTCGAGGAAGGAAGGAGAGAGTGTGCACAGGGTTAACCTCCCTCTAGTCTAGCCCCTTTCTTCGCACCCGGAACCCAGGAGAAGGCGGGGAAGGAACGCTGGGCATTCCAGGTGTGCCCTGAACCTCGTGCCGGGAGAAAGGCACCGCGGAAACCCAGAGGACACTCCCCCCTCTCGAGGGACGTGGGCGCTTTCCAGGACGGTCCAACGGCCCCAGCGTCCTAGCGCACCCCGGGCGGAGAACAGACTCTCCACGCTCAGCTGTGGGAAAGACCCTACTTTCTAGGACGAGCTGAGAGCTTACAGATCCGGGGCTCCCGAGTCCACCGCAGGCTCTCCGCTGGCTGCCTGGCGATTTCCCGAGCCTCTAGGTGCAGCCCAGCCCAGAGAGTCCCCTTTTGTTCCTGGGAGAGCGCGTAGCAGAGCGGCGCATCCCTCCCTGCGCTGAAAGCCCCGCTGCGGGGGCGCTTCCCTGGGTCCGCTCCCTACGGTGCCCGCGTCCCGAGACCACTGGCTACAGGGCACGGATCCCCAGATGCACCCTCCTTCGTCGGAAGTACTCACTTCTCCTCAGTCCCTCCGCTTTCCACGCCGTCTCCTCCACCGCTCCATAGCGCCTCAGAGGCTTCTCAGCTTCCAGATGGATAGATAAGGATTGCTTTAGTTCCATCGCTTATCCCCGTGGACAGGTCGATGGGTCTCCCCTTACTCCATCCCTGCCGCGGGCTGCTGGGAGGGAGGCGGCTCCAGCCAGCAGCGTTTTAAGGGGCCGGGCGCTCGTGACGCTGATCCATCTCTTCCGCCGGCCGCGAGGGCCTGGGAACGCTGACTGGTACCCAGGAGGGGAAGGGATGCAGGGCGCATGCGCCATGGAGGCCTGGGGGGCTGGGTAGAGAGAAAAGGGGGAGATGATAACTCTAAGGAGAACAACAAAAACAACTAAAATAGGACCAACCCAGAACAGGGCCCCTGCCCCTACTGGAGCCCATGGCGATGTTTCGCATGGGGCTGGCACTGCGTGTAGCTGCTGATATGTCAGCGGGCTGCTAGGTTTTGAGTGGGATTTGTGAGCGCGTCTCTATCTGTGGGCGATGGATCCATCTTTGTGGGGAGTGTGCAGAAGCGTGATTGTGGACCTGGATCTGTGGGCTCTGTGCTTGGCTGAGTGCGTTTTGTGTGTGTGTGTGTGTGTGTGTGTGTGTGTGTATGAGAACCTCTGTCTTTTGCATCTGTGTGTCTCGTTTGAATATGAAATGGGACAGTCTCGTGTGCAGGTACCTGTGTCTAATCGGTATGTGTTTGCATGAACTTGAGAGGCCCATAAAAATATTTGGTACACAAGTGTAAAAAGGTGTTTGAAACATAGGTCTTACCGCCCAGAAACCCAGGGGTTTAGCTTACTAACAAAGCATGGCAGCATTAAAGGTACTAAGTAAAACCAGAAGCTTGATTAATAAAAATTAGTAACATTTCCCAGTAACTCTGTGAAACAGATACGGTGTGGTTGGCCTTGTTTTACAAAGAATGAAACTGAGGTGCAAAAGATTAAGTTATTTGCCCAAAGTCCCACACTTTCCAAGTGGTCTGGTCAGCACTTTTGGTTACGATCAAGTGTACACTGTAACCTCAGTCATATTAATTACTTCATAGAACAATGGTAGAAATTAAAGAAAAGTGCTGTGATCTCACCCTAGGTGGTTTGGCTCAGTGGATAGAGCACAGGCCTGAGAACTGAAGGGTCCTGGGTTCGATTCTGGTCAAGGGCATGTACCTTGGTTGCAGACTCGGCCCGATCGGGGCACGTGGGGGAGGCAACCAATCAATGTGTCTCTCTCACATCAATGTTTCTCTCTCTCTGTCTCTCTTCCTCCCTTCCACTGTCTCTAAAAATCAATTGAAAAAATATCCTCAAATGAGGATTAATAAGAACAACAAAAATGCTGTATTCCCAAACTTGTTATATGTTTACATATGCATACATATTCAATAAAAGAAACACTGACATGACATACACCAAACTGTTGATAGTGACTACTTAGGAAGGTTGAGATAACAAGTGTTTTATTTGAATTCTCCAATGTTCCTACAAGGTATATGTATTACTTTTATGATCAGGAAAAAATGAATTATTTTTTTAATGCTTGGAAAATAAAAAGACAAGGAGTAAATACACAAAAATATCAACAGTGATTGTTTCTAAGAGTTGAGATTTGGGGGAAATATTTTCCTTTCTAGTGTTTGTTTGTTTTTTAAATTTTCCAACATCAATTCTGGGCACAGGTTGCTTTATCATTCAAAAACGAATAAATGTTGTTTCCAAGAATGTGTGAGTAATACAAACCTGTAATCCTAGATGACAAAACCTTCCCTGCCACTCCAGTGCCCAGAACCCTGCCTGCTTGCAGTAGTTGAGGGTGATAATGCTTCAAGTGCAATAACTGGCTGAAGTAACCATCTGCGTGGAATTATTAAGTGGCTCTCTCAGCCCTGGCTCCTCGTCCTGGCTCAGTGCCTCACTCTGCTGGGAATGCCAGGGACTCAGAGGGATGCTGGATGATTACAAAGGGCCAGGCCAGCAGGGGCCAGTGGAAAGACATGTTTATAACTGTCATTTTCAGTTGATTGAGAGGAAAAATAATGCAATATCACCTTGGTAATTTGATACTTTATCCAGCATGTCGACAATTTCAAATGTACATGACACTGAGCTTGTCAGGATAGCATCGTTTTTAAAAATACAGGCTTTGAAATCTGGTGGATCTGAGTTCGAGGTCCGACTCTGCCACCTGCCACATGTCACCATCTCTCTCAGCCTCACTTCCTTCATCTTTAAAATTCGAATAGCACTACCTAAACCAGAGGACTGTCATGATGATTAAGTGAGATAATGCCCCACGGCACATAAAAGGCCTCAATACAAGTATACAAGATATTACCATTATTACTATTACATGGTACTGGCTGAAGTTTTGAGTTCTGACTTTTTGGGAATATACCAATTGAAGTTTCCAAAAACAGAAATCTATTGAAATGACACTGAGTAGAGAAAATGGACCCATTGGGCCCATGATGCATTGCTGATAGAAATGTATAATGGTGCAGCCACTTTGGAAGACAGTCTGGCAGATTCTCAAAAGGGTGACATAGTTACCATATGATCCAGCAGTTCCACTCCTGAATATATACCCAAGAGGAATGAAAAATACATCCACACAAAAAATTTGTGCATGAATGTTTATAGCAGCATTATTCACAATAGTCAAAAAGGTGGAAAGAACTCACATGTCCATTAACTGATGAATGAATGACATGTGGCAATCCTAACAATGGAATATTATTTGATAATAAAAGGGAATGTAGTACTGATACATACTACAGCAGGGATAATCTTAAAAACACTATAAGTGAAAGATGCCTGTCATAATAGATGGCATACTGTATGATTCCATTTATATGAAATATCTAGAACTGTATCTTTAGAGAAAGCATATCTATAGCAAATCTATTGAGAAAGAAAGGTTAGTGGTTGCCTATGGCTGGGGGTGAGGGAAGATAGGGGGAAAGGGGTACAGCTAAAGGATACAAGGTTTCTTTGGGGAGTGGTAAAACTGTTCTAAAATTGATTGCAATGATAGTTAAATAACTCTAGGAATATACGAAAAACCATTGAAATGTACCCATTAACGGTTGATTTTTATGGTATGTGAATTATATATCAATAAAGCTGGGACCCCCCTCCCCCCAAAAAAATGACAATGAGTGAGGTTTTAATCATTTAAATCACAATGCGTCACCATGAGGTTAAGGAAATGTCTGGGGCCAGCCTGAGCAGCAGCCAGTAGGGAACTGCAGAGGTCTGGCCACACGATCCAAACCTGTCCTGGTCTTGGCTGGCATCCGGCATCACCTGACAGTGATTGTCCATCCAGCTTGTGTGTTTATGGGGATCACGAGAGGTCCCATGGCTGACTGGAATTTGCACAACTGTGACAGATTCCAGGAATCCCCTAGTTAGTCGCTCCATTGCATTGGCCTAACTCAGAAAAAAAATGTAGGCTGGGAAAACACCTCCCATCCATTATCCCACCCTGCCCACCCTTCTGTCTCCCACCGAATGTGTGCTTTGTCCAGCGTTTTCATGGGGTTTTCCTGAATCAGTCATCTTGCAACTAGCAAATAGGCTATCTGTTAGCAAGACTATATTTACACTTCTTTATCTGGCAGTGGTCATAAAAGTTTAAATTGTACAAATACAATCATGAGAGAAAAAGCATTAGAAAGACCATTTTCTGTTCCCATTATGTGTCTTTTGTTTTGTGTTGTGTTGTTTTATTTTCAAAAAAGAAGGGGGAGAGATAGAAACATCAATGATGACAGAATCATTGATCGCTGCCCCCTGTACAAACCACACTGGGGATATGCCCTGACTGGGAATCGAACCACGACCTCTTGGTTCAAAGGTTGAGGCTCAACCACTGAGTCACGACAGGTTGCTGTGTCTTTGTTCCGTTTTAAATCATGGAGAAAAGGAGGGAAAATGGGTGTGGATATGCATTTATATTGTTCTAACTCTTTCTTAGCCTCACAAAATAGGCTCCTTTGCCCTGGCTGGTTTAGTTCAGTGGTTAGAGCGCTGATCTCGGGTTGGATTCCCAGTCAAGGGCACATACCTGGGTTTCAAGTTCAGGAGGCAACCAATTGATGTGTCTGTCTCACATCGATGTTTCTCTGTCTCTCCCCCTCTTTTCCACTCTCTCTAAAAATCAATAGAAAAGAAAATATCCTCAGGTGAGGATTCACAAAACAAAACAAAATGGGCTCCTTCCCTAACATCCCCAATTTCTCAAAATAGATCGTTCTTTTTTATTGATTAATTGATTTCAGAGAGATAGAAACATCAATGATGAGAGAGAAGCATTGATTGGCTGCCTCCTGCATGTCCCCTACTGGGGATCGAGCCTGCAACCCAGCACGTGTCCTTAACCGGAATCGAACCTGGAACCCTTCATTCCGCAGGCTGATGCTCTATCCACTGAGCCAAACCAATTAGGGCTAGATCATTCTTTTATAAAAAGCATATCATTGCCCTGACTGGTTTGGCTCAGTGGATAGAGCGTCGGCAGGCGGACTCAAGGGTCCCAGGTTAGATTCCGGCCAAGGGCATGTACCTTGGTTGCAGGCACAACCCCAGTGGGGAGTGTGCAGGAGGCAGCTGATTGATGTTTCTCTCTCATCGATGTTTCTAACTCTCTATCCCTCTCCCTTCCTCTCTGTAAAAAATCAATAAAATATATTTTTTAAAAAAGCATATCATTTATCAGTTTTGTCTCTCTTTGATTCCTGGGAAACATTTAGAAACTGAGAAATATTTGAAGGAAAGAAGTCACTAGCCATTTAAATGGACTGCCCCCCATAATCCGTGTGGTGCTATGCCTTGTGGAATCACAGCCTGTCAGTCATGCACAGTGATTACAGAAACAGCAGAGCAACCAGAGAGGAATTTATCTGTGTTTCAATGAAAAGCCTAATACGGAGGGGGGAGGGGAGGAGTCTTCCAATGACTCAAAGAAATATAAGAAGTGTTGCTGCTAGAAAGTGAGAATTCTAGAGATCATGATTTTCATGAGAAGAAATGTTAATTTTCAGATTTAGAAGAGAACGTTCTAGAGCAGTGGTTCTCAACCTTCTTAATGCTGCGACCCTTTAATATAGTTCCTCATGTTGTGGTGACCCCCAATTTCATTGTTACAAATTGAACATAATTAAAGCATAGTGATTAATCATAAAAACAATATGTAATTATATATGTGTTTTCCGATGGTCTTAGGCGACCCCTGTGAAAGGGTCGTTTGACTCCCAAAGGGGTCGCGACCCAC